AGGAAGGAAGGAAGGAAGGAAGGAAGGAAGGAAGGAAGGAAGGAAGGATCTGTGACTAGGCTCTGAATAAGAGGTAGAAAAGAGGGGCAAGCTGACTGCATTAAGCATAGAGTACTTGTGCTGACTATATTCCTCTCCCATAATCCCCTTCTCTGTAAAGAAGAAAAAATATAAGAGAATTGTATGGAAGTTTTCCCCTTCCATCATTCTTTCCATATCTATAACCTTTAATCTCCCTCTATCTACTGGTTCCTTCCGTGCTACCTATATATACCCAGCTTTCCCCCTCCCTTTTCCTTATAAAACCTGCAACTGACTATACTACCCCTGAAGCCACAGTCCTGTATCTCTCCTCCTTTACACAGTTAAAATCTTAGAAAGAGTCATCTATATGCTGATTCACTTCTCAACTACTTGTAATCTGGCTTCCAACCCTCTCCACTCACCTGAAATTGCTCCCTCAAAGATTACCAGTGTTCTCAGTAGCTAAATGAAATAGCCTTTTCCTCCTCTCCCTCCTCTGATGCTTTTCACAATAAGGATTCCTCACTCTTTCCTATTTTCTCTATCTTCCCTTGACTTCAATGACAATGCACTCTCCTAATTCTTCACCCAATCAGATCAATTGTCAGTCTTGTTTTTGGACAGTCATCCCTCTCCACTTTGTCACACACTCTAATGTTCCAGCCAAAGGGAAATTCTGGGAATTCCTCAAATTTGACATTCCATCTTCTGTCTGCCAACTTCATCCTTTTGCTCAAGGATTTCCCCTAGGCCTGAGATGCTCTCTGCCCATTATCAGAATACTAATCTTCCTCCAAGGCTCAGGTGCCATTTCCTCCATGAAGCTTCCCTGGAGCTCCCCAACTGTTAATGTATGTTCCCTTCTGAAAATACCTTATGCTTCTTCAAGTGCATAGTTGTAGACTTCCAACAAAGTAAAAGCTCCTTTTAAGTACTATTTCATTTTTCTTTTTATTCCCAGCACCTAGCAAGATGATGCAACTTAAATATAAGTATGTAAATGTAATGTAAATAATGTAAATAAACACTTAATAAAGATTTTACTGAGTCAAACTGAATAGAAAAATAAACAAAATGCTAGTCCTTTCCCTGGGCGTGTCCCTCCCCCCTTTCCACCAGTAGGCTGCAAAGTGCATCTCAGCTTCAGAGGAAAGAAGATTTTTAGGTGCAGGTTCAAATCTCCACTCTACCACTTACCACGAGATATTGGGAAAGTCATTTCAGCTCTTTAGCCCTTGGTTTCCTCATCTATAAAATGAAGGAATTGGTTCACATAATGTCTACAATTCCTTCCAGTGTAAACATTTATGATTCTATTTAGAACAATATGACACTGCACAGAGAATACAGCTATAAAGTAATAAGATTGATTTTCATGTGTGATTTGTATACCCCATAATTAGGCACACTGCTTACCATCTCCACTATCCTATTTCTATTATGCCCATTTAAATTTTAGCTCTACAGAAAGTCAGAATTTATTCTCTTCCTTTCTCTATTACATGTCACTGAAGGTACAAGTCTTAAAATCAAAATAGAATCTGACTTTCTCCTATTGTGTCCCCAAATTCCTTAGACAACTTCAGATCAAATGGTAGCAAATGGGATTATAACATCTATCTCCGTCATAAACTCAAAGAATTATAAATTTAGAAGTAGAAGAGTACCTAGCGATCATCAAGTCTTCATTTTTCAGAGAAGGAAATGTGGCCCAGAGAGGTTAAGTGATTTTTCTAAGGTTATATAAGTAGTGAACCCAAGTCTTTTAACTCCAAATCCTGTACTGTACCACTATACCAAGTTATCTCCATAAAAGCATCCTAATAACTACCACATGAGTACCACAAAAACTATTTTCAAATTGTGGTTATCCATTCTGTTATCATTGCCTCTCTATAAAGGGTTCATAAAAGCTATCACAAAATGGAAATTCAACTGAGTTATCAAAGGACACTTACCTATAAACTTTTCAATTGTAACCTCACGAGTTACTAAATCGCCATACACATATTTCAGGTTATCGATTAGCCCTTTTGTCTCCTGGCTCTCACTGAACGTCTCCAGTACACTGGTAATGGCAATCACTTCAGATTCCATGTTTACACCTTCTTCTTGCTCAGTACCATCTTCATTCAACTCATTTAAAGGCATTTCGGCTAAGGTGGTAGGGAGGTGGATAAAAAAAAAAATTTGGGAAAACTGTCAGCACACTGGAATTAAAAAAAAAAAGAAAAGAAAGAAAGAAATGACCAAGCACTTGTGAGTCAATTCCAGGCACTGCTTTGCACACGATCCTGCCACACCCTTTCCCCTCTCCCCCGCTCCCCCAGACACACCACCAGGACCCCAAAGATGCCACGGGCAGCATCCCTGCCTGGACATGGGGGAGGGAGGAGACACGAAAAGAGGCAGTACTAGAGCTGATTCTCCAGACACTACCCGAGCACCAGCCCAGCCCCAGCCCAATCCTTTCAAAACAGCAGCATTTGCTCCCCCCTACTCCTCCTCCCCAAATCCGTCTCTCATCGTGCTCTCTCTCGACCCTCTCCGCTGGCCAGCACACCGTAAAAATGCGAGAGACAGATCAGCCGATTTCGTGCCTCGCCGGTCCTCTCCAACTTGCGCTCGTGGGGCCGGGCACTGAGACTTCGCAAAACATTCACTTCCGAATTCATACGCCGACCTCAGTTCCGCTACGGAAAGCACAAAGAGACAAAAGAGGGCCGATCGCGTGGGCGGGGCCTGGTATGAGCCTGAAACCCCCGGGTTTTCAGCCGAGATGGAGTTGTTAATACGAAGCGTCAGCTCCTCAGTCAAATTTATTTTTGTGCCATCACCTCTCCCTACATCATTCCTAGTTTGTGCCTGAAAATTGTGCCTCCTCTCTTGGGCAGCTTTAGCATTTTAAAAAAATATATATTCCCACCCTATGCCACCCAGAGAGCTGAGCGTTGTTCTCGTTTCTGGTGGTGGTGGGGCAGCAGTTATGGGCCAGAGTAACTCCTTTTTCTTTACTTTGCTTCTCATCTAGTAGAATCATAAAATGCCAGAGACAGAAGGGGCCTGAAAACCCACTTATCACTTGACAAATGATAAAACTCAGACACAGAAAGAGAAAATAATTTTCCTAGGGTTATACAGCTAGCTACTTCATGATAAACTAGAACTTGAGTCTCCAGGCTCGTTTTCCAATGCTTTTGCTTCCAGATGATGCTGTTGGCGGAAGGAAGGGACTATTCAACTTCAGGAGTCAAGATAAAAAGGCAACCAGAGTTTTCTCCTGTCACAGGAGTATGAAGAAACCTTGTTCACTCTACCTCCCTGGCAGTTAAGCCAAAATGAGCATTTGGTTTGACATTTCCTTCTCCAGCTTATTTTACAGATGAGGAAACTGAGGCAAACAGGCTTACTTGCCCAGGGTCACAAAGTTAGTAAGTCTCTGAGGCCAAATTTCAACTCAGAAAGGTGAGAATTCCAGGCTCCAGGCCCAGCACTCTATCCACTCTGCCCAAGGTGAGCATACAAAAGGACAAAATTTGGATATTTGGCACAGCACAATTCCAGGAATTTCTGGTAAAGAAAACATCAATATGAAGGGGCCCTTGACATTCAAAACTAGAGGCAGAGCTTCAAGCAAATAAAATTATGGAAAAACATTAAAGCTATGAATGTCTAATTTCAGCATGTAGTTAGTAGCTTTGCTTCATCTTGCTGGCTGAGGAGGAGAAAAGGGAAAGAAGTGAGTGGCCTTTCCACTGGAGCTAGGTGCAACTGGTACCTATTTCTTAATGCGTTCCTTTTTTCTACTATAAATTGTATAACATAACTAGTTTTACTTCTCATAAACTTCTGTGGTTGATCCAGATGGGTATCTCCTTGAGTCCATTTGTTCAAGACATGAGTATACAGAGGACAGCTCAGAGAGTAACTTTTCCTAGTTTAGGACTGGGGTCTCAATCCCCAACCCGTTATTAGAGAGGTTAGAGAATCAGTCTCTCTCTCTCTCTCTTCCCCCTTCCCTCCCTCCCTCTCTGGCTATTTTCCTCCCCTTCCCAAGAGAAGAATCAATATAAACCTGCATCTTTCAATCTGTACCTTTTAAGTTGTTTTATCTTGTAATTCATGTGACTTACCCATCTAGTGCTATACTTGACTTAGAAAAGAATTTGTGGTACCAGGACAGAACTGTAGGGTTGTTTTAATCAATCTTGGGAAAGAGGGAAAGCCATTTAGTGGAATTCCTAATCAGTTCAGTACCCTGATTGATGAAATTTATAGGACTTGGACATTTATCACAAAAGGAGCACCTTCCATAGTGCAGGAAGTGATTTCTGGATCATTGATAAAGGATATATGCTTTGATGTAATAACACATATGCTTTACTAATTGGTCCTTGTGAGTCCCTGTGACTGGGATTTTGCATCAAAGATCATTGTCCACTGAGCATCATGGACAACAAACTCTTATGGAGGTACCTCTCCCCCTCAATAGTCTACAATAAAAATAGCCTGGCTAGCCAGAGATCTGGACTTTATGGGATGCTCAGACAGTACATGTGTGAGGTGAATGTTAATTTTTCAACTTAGCAGTCTCACTAAACATCTTTACCTTCCTTGGATATAATGAGTATAATGGACTATTTGAAGTGTTTTCTATTTCTATATTTGTAAATATGCACCTGTGAGTCTTCTGTGTCCAGGGCTTTTCCTCAAAAAAAAGGTGGCAGAGATCAAAAGCTACTGTTCTATATCTATTATCCATATTTATATACTAAGTATCTCTTTAGAAGAGATCCTATTATCTACATTCTGGGGAGACCTTAAACTTGAACATGACCCTAAGCTTTGTTGAAGAGATTTGTCTGGAGTATTACTTCAAGGTAAAGGCAGTGATCCAGAAAGAGAAAGACCAGGATGAATCCAACTCTGTAATCCCAGAACCAAAACTTCTTGTGGGAAATGAGGAATGATGGAGGAGATTGGGGAGGAATATGCCCCAAGCAATCAATCCACAAGCTTTTATTCAGTACGTCTTATGTGCCAGGCACTTTGCTAGGTGCTGGAACCCAAACACAAAGAATATAACAATTGCTACTTTTTTTCTAATATGGGAGACAACACAATTAAGTATATGCAGGATAAATAAAAAGAAAATAAATACATTCCCTCATCCAATTGGTTATTAAATTCTATTCATTCTAGTTCACCAGCATCTCTCTTATCTGTCCCTTCCTAACACTGCCATGATGCTAGTTCAGAGACTTGAGATCTCCTGCCTAGACAATTATAGTATTTTAATAGATTTTCTTTATTCCAGTTTCTCCAAAATAATCTTCCTTTTGCACCGGTGCACATGTCATATCCTTGGTCAAAAAACTAAAGAGGTTCCTCATTACCTGTAGGGTAAAATACAAACTTCTCAATCAGGTATTTGAGGCACTATAATCCGGCTCCAACTTACCGTATTTCAGTCATTTTTCACACTACTACTCCCACTTTTACATTCTATGCAAATTCTAAAGCAGCAGAACCAACAAAAAGACGAAGTGAAACAAAGGTCCCCAATGTTGCCTTGTCTGTAATTATTTTTGCCAGTCTTAATTTTTTAATTCCTCTGATGCATAATAAATTCTGCTCAGTCATTCATTTTAGTTCTCTGAATATTGATGTCTTTCTTTTAAACAACAAATTGTTAGATTCTGCTTTCTAATCCACTGTACTACCCTCCTCCATTTTATGGGTGAATTCATCCCATTCACACTCTTAGTTGTGATTTTTAATTTTGTTTTTTTACTCTATCATATCCCCTTATAATTTTTCTTCTTTTTGTCCACATTCCTCCTTTAAAAAGAAGTAGGGAGTGGGAAAGAAAAGGAATGGGATCAACAATCTGATACACCCTCTGAAGTTGAAGTGTTTATTTATGACTATATGCTCCCCAGCTCTGTCCTCCTTCTTAGGCATCCATTCTCTTTTCTCCTTGCTCCCTCCCTTTTCCCCTATTAAATTTAATATATTTGCACACCAAAATCAGTATGTGTTCAACCTTTTTTTGTCAAGTTCAGATAAGAACTACCACTTCCTCTTCTACCTTTGTATATTCTTCTAGAGCACCTCAGTTATGAGAAATAGTAAGTTCTTTGTATTTCCTTCTTTTTCCTTTCCCTTTTCTTTCCTCTTTAAATCAGCAAAACTGAAGAACCCTCATCCCTCCTTGCAATTGTCTTTCTTTACTCAATCTCTGATCTTGGAAGGCAATGGAATTTTGAAGAAACATTTGTTGTTTTTCCCCCATTAGAAAATAAGCACCTACTCATTATTTAGGCTCTCTCAATGTTTAAATGTCCTTACCACTCTGGATTTCTCTTGTTTCCTGTGTATATGTTTCAGAGATCATATCCAACTCTGGTCTTTTCATCAAGAATATTTGAAGGTGTTCTGTTCTATTAAAGGTTCATTTTTCCTAAGAGGATCATCCCTAATTTTGCAAGATAAGTTATTCTTGGTTGTGAGACTTTTCTGTTGACTTTTGGAGTATCACATTCCAATATCTTCTTTCTTTTGTTCTTTTGTACTTGATCTCTTTTTGGCTACAATATTTTTTCTTTGACCTGAAATCTGTGGCTTTTGGTTTTGACATTGGGTGTTTTAAATTTGGGGTTTCTAATAGAAGGTTATTGATGAATTCTTTATGTTTTCACTTTGGTTTTCTATGATTCCTTAAAATATGGTATTTAGTATTTTTTAGTTTAGTCAAGATTTTCAGGGAGTCTGATGACTTCTAAATTATCTCTCTTTGACCTTGTAGAAAATCTTCTTTATAGTTTCTTTTGAAATAGTAAGAATTAATATTTCTACCTAAAGTTCTTTTCAGACTTTTGAGGAAAATACCTTTGAAAGGTGGGTGGAGGGGGCGGAGCCAAGATGGCAGAGTCAAAGCATTGACTTGCTTGAGCTCTCCCCCAAACCCCTCCAAAAACTTATAAAAAATGACTCTAAGCAAATTCTAAAGCAGCAGAACCAACAAAAAGACAAAGTGAAACAAATTTTCAGCCCAAGACAATTTGGACGGTTGATCGGAAAGGTATATCGTGCCGTAGTGCAGTGTGGGCGTGCAGGCCACAGCGAACCTAGAGCAGGCCTCAGAGGACTGAATTTAGGCCAGCTGTGTCAGTCTCCAGACTTCTCGACCCAGGAACACCAAAGACAACTTAAAAAGCCAGTGGAAAAAGTTTGTGACTGCAGTGAGAGAGAAAAGCTAGGTCTCAGCCTCAAGTCCCGAGTGTGGCCCGGAGCTACGGCTGCCTCCTGAGCTTTCAACCCACAGACTGAGGGGGAATCGGGTGGCTGATCAGAGGGGGATTGCAGAGATATCTTTGCCAGAGCTGAGGCAGGAAGCTCTTGCTCTGCCCATGCTTGGATCTGGGTTACAGTTCTGAGGGCAGTCATGGGGTGAGGAGGAGTGCTGGCATGGTGGAGCTTGTTGTGGCAGTGGAGAGCAACCACCCCGCCCCTTATCATACCACCTTGGAAGAACTGAAAATTTGCAGGTCCCTAGAAGTAGCTCTGAAAACAGTTGTACAAACCCCTGAAGCTTGGGACAGTACATTCTCCACATTGGAAACAGACTCTTACCTTAACAAAGAGTTTAAAACTCAAGTAATTGG